ACAGGACATGGCTGCTGATTTGACATCTGATAGCACAGGGCAGAGTTATGGAGACTCAAGTCTCCTCTGATCCCGGTAATGGATGAAGTCTTGAGGGTGTGGATAAGGGATCAGAGTCTAATGGAGAATTTTAGTCAAGAAAGCAAATGAAGGGAGGTGCTGTGTTTTCTTGACCTCACTGCCTGTCTCATGGAATCTGACTTTATTTGTACACGGTAAAATGTTAAGATGCCAATTTGCAATTCCCGGGCTCTGGCCAGGACACAGTCAGGTGCCCTTATCTGATAGGATTCCTTTGTTGAGCTCACAAGATGTGTCCTCCCCAGACACAGGTACTAGATCTCAGACTATCGATGTAGATCAGTGATACATGGGAGGGTCTGGGTGATGTGGGAGGTGATGTATGCTGTGATATGTTTTATTATTATTGGTTAATAAAGAAGCTGTTTTTGGCCAATGGCCTAACAGAGTAAAGCCAGACTGAAAGAGATATAGAGAGTAGGCGGAGTCAGAGAGAAGCTGTATAGCCGCTTGCAGGAAACAGACGCCTCCACAGGAGCCTCAGAATCTTTGCTGGTAGGCCATGACCTCGTGATGATGCTTAGAATAATGAAGATGAGTTAGTTTAGGATATAAGAGCTAGCTAGCAATATGCTTAAGCTATTGGAAAACAGTATTGCAAATAATGTATTTTTTGTGTGATTATCTCAGTTCTGGGCAGCTGGGAATGAACAAGCGACCTCCCCCCAGCAGATTGGTGTGCCAACATGATCTGAAATGTTTGGAACTGATGTCTGCCACCCACTTTGGGTCTGGATGCTTTTTTGCCCCCTTAGGGCTGGGGGGAAAGTAGCTGAGACTATCTATACCCGTGGCTCAGCGGCTCCCACCTGGGCAAATTCCTACTGCTATACAGAGAGATTTTATTTTCAGGACGTGCAGTGCTATTACTTAGATAAAAATGGTTTATGTACTGCACGTGCCTTCTCAGAGTTAAAGTGGTGAGTGCCGCTCCTACCTGGCAGTCCCAGAGATGGCAATAATGGTAACTCCACCATATTGAAAGGTGGAGAGAGGCGGAGCCAGCATCCAGAGCCACTGCAACCAAGCTGCTTACCATTTTAAAAAGCACTCCTGCTATAAAAAGAATCACAGGTATGCAATAAAGACAGATTCAGATTAAAAAAAGATATCTGAATGGTTCACAGTGCTGGATAAATGTATGTAGGCTTGAGAGCTCGAGAGAAAGAAGATAAAGAATACAGACAGTCATAAAAAGAAGTAATGGTTTTAAAAATTAAAACAAAGTCTTTAAAGAAGCAGAGTAAAGACAGTCATAGATTAAAGGGAGAAAGAAAAATAAGCCACATAAAGATGGACTATACACTGAGAGTCTGGATTATGTATACTATTTTGTTTTTTTTAATTATTTGACTATGAAGCAGCTAAGTACAGAGAAACATTTCATTATATGGGCTGCTAAGCTAAACCAACATACATGTTTTAAAGGTATCTTGACTTCAAAATTTGGGTCTAAGGTTTTGTTGCTGTGGAAAAGAGGTTCTTCTTTTGTTTCCACAAAGGATGAGAACCTGTGGGCTCCTTCCATATTAATGTGGTTTGATGGACCAAGACCCTCTGAAAGGTCGCTGTGAAAACCTCCCCAAATTACTTCCACCAACAAAAAGCAGGAAGTAGTTTGGAAAGAACTATGTCAAAATTCCCAAATATTGTTTATAAATGTTTGTTTACATTTAAAGGGGGATAGGCTATAGAAATATAGAGAGTAGTCAGAGTCAGAGAAAAGCTGTGTAGCTACCCACAGGAGACAGACACTTCTGCCGGAGCTGCAGAAATTTTGCTGGTAGATCATGACCTCTGGTGATGCACAGAATAATGGAGATGTGTTAGTTCAGGATATAAGAGCTAGTTAGCAATATGCTTAAGCTATTGGCCAAACAGTAGTGCAAATAATATATTTTCTGTGTGATTATTTCAGTTCTGGGAAGCCAAGAACAAACAATCAGTCTTCCCCCTCAACACTTGGGTAAAATATGTACCAAACTCCCAAGACAAAAAGACTTGTGTGCTGAGCCTGGTTCTTGCAATCTGATGGACTTCTAATTGGAGGTAGTCTGACCTTCACCTTCAGTGCCTAAACAATTGCAGAGAGGTGTCCCACTTACAGATGGCCTGAAGGTGTAGGTCATGGTCTATGAACAGAAATTCATGCAGGAGTTACTGGTGCAAACCAAATGCCAGCATCTATCTTGGACCACCCAGGATTCATGCCCAGCACTAAAATCAAAAGATTGTGTGGACAGAGTTGGTCAGGGGTGAGTATGGGGCTACGTGAGCCATGGTGATGATACGTGATCAGGCAATGAAAGGGAAAGTCATTGAATTTCAAGGTGACAAGGAACATGGCTAGTGTGTGTGACAACATTTTGGAGAAATGGGTGAAACAGGACCCAGATGAGACGAGAAATGTGGGTAACAGAGTACAGCATAGATAGGTATCCTTTTTACACTCAGACAGCATGTGTTCAGGTATGGTCTTTTCACCTTATGGGCCTGAATGGTAAGAGCAGCGATTATATCATCTATTGCCTAGCCAGGTAATCACTGGAGCAGTGGGTGACTGAGGTATCTTCCTCTCTGTTTACCACCATTACCAACCTGGCTGGGAGGGAGCTTGTAAAGGAGTCAGATGCAGTTGGAATTTTCTGTGGGCATTCACACAGCACCCAAATAGAGACATGGAGATTTATTATTAATTACAAATGCTTGGTCGTAGGTCAAGCTTGTCCTAATAGTCTTTTTATCTTAATTTCACCTGTTTCTATTCAACTACATTTTTTCCTTGGTTCTTTTTAGCATTCTTTTGTCTGTATTTTCTACTTCCCTGCTTCCTCTCTGTGACTGGTTGGCCCATGAGGTCTCCCTCTTGTCTCCTTTCTTTTTTATTGGGCCTAAATTCCTCCTACTAATTAATCTCCCTAACTGCAAGTTCTGTCTGTACCTCCTGCCTTGCTATTGGTCATTCAGCTTTTTATTCTACGAGTCAGGTGCCTTAGGGAGGCAAGGTAAAACAGCAACATATCTTTACATAATTAAACAAATACAACACATATTTTCATTGTTAAACAAATACTTTGCAATATACACAAATACAACATATATTTACATAGTTAAGCAAATGCAGCACGCCTTTGCATAGTTAAACAAATATTCTGCAAAATTTCGCCTTTTCTGTCTAAATAAAATGAAAGGTTTTAGCTTTAACACAGCATGACTACTTACAATAAAAACAATTACCAAATAAGAATTATATTTACAATATCAGGTTCATTTGCATTTGATTAATTCAGAGAAAATGCTCCATTATCTAGCCTATCTTGGTGAGTCTGAAGTTGTGACCTCATTTACTTTCTATCTTAACTTGTATTACCAACCCCAAATTATCTTTTAAGGACTCAAAATATATTTTAAACAATTTAAGCTTTTATGTTTCTCAACCTTAGAAACTTTACATCTCTATTTTTACTATGTTAATCTTACCTATTCGTGAGCTTGGGAGATCTTTCCATTTCTGATGTCTTCTTCTATTTCTTTCTTCAAAGACTTAAAATTCTTGTCATACAGGTCTTTCACTCTTGTTTTGTATAAAGGGTTATATTTCTCTGATTTCTCACTCAGCCCATTTTTCATCTGTATCTAAGAGGACAATTGATTTTTGTAGTTAATGTTACATTCTGCAACATGACCTAAGGTATCAGTTATAGTAGTTTCCTGTTAGAACTTTTGGGGTCACTTATGTATACTATCATATCATCAGCAAATAGCAAAAGTTTGACTTCTTATTTTCCAGTTTTTATCCCTGTAATCTCCTCTTGTTGTCTTATCATTCTAGCTAGAACTTTGAGTACTATATTGAATAGTTATGAAGAGAGTTGACAGCCTTGTTTTGTTTCTGATTTCAGTGGGATCACTTTGAGTTGCTCTCCATTTAGCTTGATGTTGGCTGTTAACTTGCTGTATATTGCCTTTACTATGTTTAGATATGTTCCTTGTATCGCTGCTCTTTCCAAACTCTTTATTATGAAGGCACATTGACTTTCGTCAAAGGCTTTTTTCAGCGTCTGTTGAGACATCATGTGGGTTTTTCTTTCAGTTTGTTTATAAGGTGGATTGCATTCATAAATTTTCATATGTTCAGCCATCCTTGCATGTCTGGGATAAAGCTTACTTGGTCATAGTGGATGATTTTTCTGATGTGTTCTTGAATTCAGTTTGTCAGTATTTTATTGAGTATTTCTGCACCCATGTTCATCAGGAAGATCGATCTGTAATTCTATATCTTAGTTGTGTCTTTAGGTGGTCTGTGCATCAGGGTAACTGTAGCCTCATAAAAAGTTTGGAACTATTACTTTTCTTTCTATTGTGTGGAACAATTTGAGAAGTATTGATATTAACTCTTCTTTGAAGTTCTGGTAGAATTCTGCATTGAAACCATCTGGCCCTGATTTTTTTTTTTTTTGATTGAGAGACTTTTGATGACTCTTTCTAGTTCCATAGGGCTTAAAGGTCTATTCAATTTGTTTATCTGGTCTTGATTTAATTTTGGTATGTCTTATTTTTCCTTTTCCAGAAAAAAATCCATTTCCTTTAATTTTTTTCAATTTTGTAGAGTACAGGATTTTAAGTATGACCTAATAATTCTCTGGATTTCCTCAGTGTCTGTTGTTATATTCCTCTTTTCATTTCTGATTTTGTTAATATGGATATTCTCTCTCCATTTTTTGGTTAATTTGGATAAAGGTTTGTCTATCTTATTGATTTTCTCAAAGAACCAACTTTGTCTCATTGATTTTGTTGTACTATTTTCTTTGTTTTTATTTTATTGATTTCAGCCCTCTATTTGATTAGTTCCTAACATCTGCTCCTACTGGATGAGTTTTCTTCTTTTTGTTTTCTAGAACTTTCAGTTGTTCTGTTAGTTCACTACTGTAGAATTTCTCTAGCTTCTTCATGTAGGCATTTAATGCTATGACATTTCCTGTCATCACCGCATTCATTGTGTCCCCTGAGTTTGGGTATGTTGTACCATCATTTTGTTTAATTTTAGGTAGTCTTTAGTTTTTTAAATTTATTTCTTCCTTGACCCAGAGGTAATTCAATTGAGCAATGAGTTTACGGGCTTTCTGCAATTAGTGTTGTTGAATTATAATTTCAAGCCATGGTGATCTGATAAGATACAGTAGGTTATTTCAATTTTTTTTCATATCTGTTCAGGTTTACTTTGTTACTGACTATGTGATCAATATTAGAGAAAATTCCATGGCGTGCTAAGAAAAAGTTATATTCTTTTGTATTTGGGTGGAATGTTCTTTAGATGTCATTTAGACCCATTTGAGTAATAACATCTGTTTGTTCCTTTATTTCTCTGTTAAGTATCTATCTGGCAGACTTGTCCAGTGGTGGGAGTGGGTATTAAACTCTCCCACTTATAGTGGATTTAATGGGTGATTTAAGCTTTAGTAATGTTTCTTCTACATTACTAAGTTGCCCTTGTATTTGGGGCATTGGTGTTCAGAATTGAGATTTCATCTTGATGTATTTTTCCTTTGCTGAATATGAAATGACCTTCTTCGTGTCTTTTGGCTAATTTTAGTTTGGAGCCTATTTTGTTAGATATTAGGATAGTTACAACAGCTTGTTTCTTAGGTTCATTTGATTGGAAAAATTTTTTCCAACACTTTACTCTGAGGTAATGTCTGTCTTTGTAGTTGAGTTGTGTTTCTTGTATGCAGCAGAAGGATGGATTCTGATTTCACATCCAATCTGTTAACCTGTATCCTTTTCTAAGTGAATTGAATTCATTGATATTAAAGGATAAAAGTGATCAGTGATTGATAGTTCCTGTTATTTATTTATTTATTTAGGTGGTAGTGGTACTGAGTGTGTATTTCTCTTCTTAGGGATTTGCTAGTGTGGGATTATCTATTGCCTGTGTTTTTGTGGATACAGCTAATTTCCTTGGGTTGGAATTTTTCGTCTAGTACTTTCTGTAGTGTTGGATTTGTGGATAGGTACTGTTTAAATCTAGTTTTGTCATGCAATACCTTCTTTTTTTCATCTATCATAATTGAAATCTTTTCTGGATATAATAGTGTGATCTGGCATCCCTGGATTCTTAGTGTCTGCATAACCCCTGAGCAGAACCTTCTGACTTTCGTTGTTTCCATTGAGAAGTCAGGTGTAATTCTGATATTCTGATAGGTCTGCCTTTATATGTTACTTGGCCTTTTTCCTTTGCAGCTCTTAATAGACCTTCTTTATTATGGAAATTTAGTGTTGTTATGTAGTGAGAGGACTTCTTTTGTTTTCTGGTTCAGCCTATTTGGTGTTCTGTAAGCTTCTTATACCTTTATAGGTATGTCTTACTTTATGTTGGGAAAGTTTTGTTCTATGATTTTGTTGAATCTGTTTTCTGTGCCTTTGAGTTGGACTTTTTCTCCTTCATTTATCCCTATTTTCTTATGGTCTTTTCATGGTGTCCCAAATTTCCTGGATAACTTGTGTTAAGAATGTTGGATTTAACATTTTCTTTGATTGTATCATCAATGCCTGAGATTTTTCTCTTCCATCTCTTGTATTCTGTTGTTTATATTTGTATCTGTAGTTCTTGATCATTCATTTACCCAGATTTTCCATTTCTAGAGCTCCCTCAGTTTATGTTTTCTTTATTGCCTCTATTTCAGTTTTTAAGTCTTGAACCATTTCCTTCACCTGTTTGATTGCTTTTATCTTGGTCTCTTTAAGGGATTTGTTAATCTTTCCTGATATTTTGTTTGTCTTCTTTTCCATTTCTTTCAGGGAAATTTTCATTTCCTTTTTAAGGGCCTCAAATGTCTTCATAAAGTTATTATTATTATTATTATTATTATTATTATTATTATTATTATTATTATTTGGTTTTTCTGTAGCTTTTGGAGCCTGTCCTGGAACTAGTTCTTGTAGCCCAGGCTGGCCTTGAACTCACAGAGATCCACCTGCCTCTGCCTCCCAAGTGCTGGGATTAAAGGCATGCACCACCACCGCCCAGCCCTCCATAAAGTTATTTTTAAAGTCATTTTCTACTGCTTCAACTGCATTGAGATGTTCAGGTCTTATTGCTGTAGAACCACTCGTTTCTGGTGTTGCTGTATTGCTATTTGTGTGTATTCTTACCCTGTTGTTTACCCATCTCTTTCTCAGATTGGTACAGGTGGAGCCTGTGCTTCAGGGGATCCCTTTTCCTCCAATTGATGTAGCTGGAGGCTGTGGCTCCATTCAGTGCTCCTTCAGATGTATGCAGGGTTGAGCTTCTCGTGATTGTTTCTCCAGGTGTGTATGGGCTCAAGGCTCAGATGGTCACTCCTCTCAATGCAGGTAGGGCCACAGTTTCTGTGGTCACTGCTCCAGGTGCCGGTATTGCTGGCATTCCAGAGATCGCTCCTCTAGGTGCAGGCAGGCCTGAGGTTGAGGTTCTAGTGGTCTGACAGCTTCTGGAGACCACTGCTGTGTGTCCATGGACAGCACTGATGCTGTCTCCTGGCACAGCCTGAGCCTGCCGCCTTGTTCTTCTTTTCTTTTTAAATACCTGTGCACACTGTGACCTGTTTAAAGATTTTTTTTTTTTAGTTTGGTTCCATTTTACTGTGCTCCCATAGTATTCTTTGACAGCATGACTCAACCTTGAATTGCTAAGCTGCAGCATACCTGAGGCTGTGGCAGGTAGCTCCACCCTCTCCTCAGGAAAGGAAGAGCTGAGCCTTAAGTCTGCCGACCTGTCCGAACGCTGTCTAATCGGCACTAGTCTTTAAGCAAGAGCTGCATTGAACTGCTCTGCTCTAGAAAGTTGGTGGCCACACTCTGGAGGAGACTTTGCTTTGCTTGTTGTTTATACTCTGTGTGCCGGTTGTTCAAGTGCACTGCTGCACAGCAGTGCCTCTCAAAGAAGCCATATCCAGTTTTTTTTTCCTCTCTTATTTTCACTTTTCTTGAGCCTATGGGGAAATTAAGGCCCCAAATTGGGTGCCAGTTACTTGGAATTTTCTTTGGACTTCTAACCAGCTCCCAAATAAAGACACAGAGACTTACTATTATTTATGGATGTTTGGCCTTAGCTTAAGTTTGTCCCACTAGCTCTTTAAACTTAATATAATCTGTTCCTATTCATCTACATTTTGCCTTGGAGCTTTTTTTTTTTTATCTTTCTCTCATTCTATGTGTTGTAGTTTCCTGCTTCCTCTATGTCTGGCTCCCTGGCCCTTGTCGTCTCACTGTGTCCCCTTTTCTTTCTTTCTCAGGTCTAAATTCCTCCTACTACCTACTCCTCTGCCCAGAAGTTCTGCATAAACCACCTCCCTCACCATTGGTCATTCAGCTTTTCATCAGAAGAAACAGGTTCCTTATGCAGTCAAGGTAAAAGAGCAACATATCTTTACATAACTAAACAAATGAAGCACATCTTTACATAGTTAAACAGACATTCAACAACATAAAAATGCAATGCAATTTTACACAGTTAAACAAATGTATCACAACTCTACATTGTTAAGCACATGCAACACATCTTTACAAAGCTAAATATTCTATGACAGCCAGATGTAGGCAAAGAAGAAGGCACAACTTTTTGGCTTGTTTACATCTCCACTCTTTGGACTTCCCTTCAGTCCCAGTACACTCATGAACAAAGTCATATGCAATGTGAATGTCTGTCATTTGTCTCTGTCACTTTGAGTATAAAGTCCTTTGATTTGGCAAGATACTGAATGTTGCAAGATATTTGATTACATTAGATCACATTATGAAACCAAGATTGCATCATTTACTGGAAAAAATATTTTTCTAGTTGTGGTGTGGCTAAGCCTAGCACTCACCTTTAATCCAAGTGCTTTCTGTTTGAATATTATAAATAAAGTTATAATAAAGTTATAATAAAGTTTAAAAAAAGATTAAGTAAAGTTAATCATAGATTAAGAGGTACAGTAAGTTACCAGTTGACCTGAAGTGAACATAAGATTATGAAGATAAAATGATAGAAGATGGGGGTAGACAGGAGGGTGGATAGAGAGATGCACAGGAAGTGGAAAGTGGGGACAAGGAGTTTGGAGAGAGCTTTTTGAGGTGGTGGGGAAGAGAATTTGGGGGGGATCATGGATGAGATAGAATGCCAGCTAGTTGCTTTCTATGCCTCTCTGAGCTAGCAGGCTTTCACCCCAGTATCTGCCTCCCAAGTCTTTATTGATAAATTAGAATAAATGAGTTTTTGCTTACATAACAGCTGAAAAAATAGAAGAATGTTGGAGAGAGAACGCTGACTTCCTTGCTGATACAGGAGGCTCAGGGCAGTCCACAGAGACACATCTATGATGTCCACCCTCTCAGAGGAAGCTGTGTGCCAAATGCCTTGGGACAGGCCTTCACAGAATCAGCTGAAGGAGGAAATTCATGGAGCTTGGCAATCTTCTGGGAACAGGAGGGGAGAAGTGGACCAAGATCAGTATTTCTAGAAGGGAGATGACCTATGTCTCCTGTCTATATAGAAGCCACACAGGCCTGTGAGATTTTTAAGGTAGAATGTTTCTTCTGTTCACCCTGGACTGCAAGAACCTAAAGACTGGAGCAGAGTGGGAGGCATTTTTGGATGAGAATAAATAGGCCTGTGACCTAGTAAAAGAGGCTGGGAACTGAGACTAGTCCAGGTGGACTTTGAACAAAATCATCACACAAGGCCAGTCAAATAGCCAGAGTGTAAAGGAATTTGCCAAGCAAGGCTGGAGACCTGACTCAATCTCCAGGACTCATTTCAGGTGGAAAGAACTGACTCCACAAGTGTTTACTGTCTTCTACATTCTCACAATGGCAAGTATGCTTACACATACACACATTCCAAGCAACATATACACCTACATATGCATATACATTATGCAAACACTCTTACACATATATAAACACACACTATGAACAAACACATACATTACACTCATCCTTACATACGCACATAAACACATACTATGTACACATTATGACAGGGAAAGGCAGTGCAGAGATTCCTCCATCTCATATTCTTGATGAAGCTGTTAGGTTTGACTAGAATTTGATCTCCTTGAGGAAAATCTTGTGGAAAATTACCCATCTCTATTATATTGAACTCAAGGAGAGGCCCCCAACTAGCTTATCTTTGTTCCTATTGAACTGCCTCCTTGTGCAAATCTCTCTCTCCAGCTAACTGCTTATCTTGGCTTCAGTTAAATTGCTTGCTTGCACAAAACCTCCACTGGAGCTGCCAAGCAAGATAGCAGGATGTGGGGTTTTGCCTTTAAAAGCCTCTTGTTCTTAACAAATTAAGCTACACTTGGGTCCCAAATACTTGAGCATAGTCCCAGCCAGCTTGAATATTTAGTTGTCTATACATTAATTTCATGCTAGCTGTCTACAGACATTAGGGTGTTGAATGCTCTCCCAATGCTTTTGCACATCCCAGGGCATCTTGCCAAAGACTTCCCAGAGCACAAGGCACTTATGGGTTCACAGTATAGCATGTTGACTGAGCATGGAATGACCTGAGATCCTGTCTAGGCACTCTGAGATCTGACTAATGCCTTCCTGTTTGAGGTGGAAAAGGTGAGAATCGGGGGTTGTAGTATCAGGTAAGTTCAGGCAGGACACCACAGGCATGTCACACAGTAACCAAGAATCTGGACTTCCTGGAGACAATGGAAGGTTTTTGTGACCTTCTATTCATGGTCCTCTATTGTATGATGTTTTGTTTGCGTTCTTACAAAGCATTCAACTTTTGGGGCATAAATTTATGAAATATCCATTTGCCTGTTGCTTTGCAGCCACTAGCACCCGTTGTATCCATCCAAGTTATGGCCCCACTGGCTGCCTTTTCCTTTCTTCCCCAAGACCTCTGAGTGAGTCTGGAATTTTCTGTTGCAGCATTCCACAGCAAATGACACAGGCACTTGGGTTTCAAACACTGCTGGCGTCAACCACTTTCACACGTTTCTCCCATGCAGATGGCTGGCTCTTTGGCCTTTCACCCCCGCTGCAGGTTGTGGACTTCCCCTGGATCCCTCCTCAGACTGCTGAGGTATACTCATCCAGTCTGTTCACAGCCTATGTTCTCCAGTCAGACTTGCTACACTTCACATTTCACCATCAGCAGCAGCAGATTTGATAAGACAATTGGGAATACTTAAAGAGGGGAATTAAATTTAATGGAAAAAAAGTTTTTCTCCTATGTTTCAAAAAAAAATAGGAAACACTGTTACAATGGAAGGAGTTAGGTCTCTGTATGATTACACAATGAATGGTTTAAAAATGGAACATAAACGAGGGAATAATTCACTTAGATGGAACTTACATAATGTCAATTATAAACAATTATTGGTGTGATAATTCTTGCTTTATCCCTAAAAACAATGGTTAATATGAGTGCCAAGTTGCTTGATCTAACTATCAAGATACAGGCCTTGGAAAAAGTTGCTTTTGGGGTTCAATGTGGGCTCGTATTTCCATGTAGGGCCTGAGAAAAGCTTATGGCTCCTTTAAGTGTTTATGCCTATTTGTCAGTCCTTGAACAGCCAGCATGGTAAGTAGGAAGCAGAAACAAAGTAAAAATACCTGCCACAGCACAAGCATCAGCATTCTAGAGCTTTAGGAAGGTTGAATGCAGTTTCTGGTCTTAAACCTTCAACCTGGGTGC